TATCTGTTATGGTGATCTGTGATCTTTATGTTACTATTGTGATTGTTTTCGGGTAGCATGAACCATGCCCACATAAGATAGCAAATTTCATCAAGAAATGTGTGTATTGTCTGTTCCCTCATCTGTTTCCATCTCCTTGGACCACCCTGTTCCCTTAGACACAACAGTATTGAAATTAAGCCAGTTATCTACAGTGGCCTCTAAGAGTTCAAGTGAAATAAAGAATCACATGTTTCGGCCGGGCGCGGTGGCTCAAGCCTGTAATCCCAGCACTTTGGGAGGCCGAGGCGGGCGGATCACGAGGTCAGGAGATCGAGACCATCCTGGCTAACACGGTGAAACCCCGTCTCTACTAAAAATACAAAAAGAAATTAGCCGGGCGTGGTGGCGGGCGCCTGTAGTCCCAGCTACTCCGGAGGCTGAGGCAGGAGAATGGCGTGAACCCGGGAGGCGAAGCTTGCAGTGAGCCGAGATCGCGCCACTGCACTCCAGTCTGGGCGACAGAGCGAGACTCCATCTCAAAAAAAAAAAAAAAAAAAAAAAGAATCACATGTTTCTCACTTAAAATCTAAAGCTAGAAATGATTAAGCTTCTTGAGGAAGGCATGTTGAAAGCTGAACTAGCCCCAAAGCGAGGCCACTTGCACTAAACAGCCAGATAGTAAATGCAAAGGAAAAGCTCTTGAAGGAAATGGAAAGTGTTACCCCAAGCCAGGCCTGCACCTGTACTCCCAGCTACCTGGGAGGTGGAGGCAGGAAAATTGCTTGAGCCCAGGAGTTTAAATCTAGCCTGGGCAACATAGGGAGACCCTGACTCTTCAAACAAACAAACAAACCAGAACAACAAAAAAAACGCTGGGCGCAGTGGCTTACGTCTGTAATCCCAGCACTTTGGGAAGCTGAGGTGGGCGGATCACGAGGTCAGGAGTTCGAGAGCAGCCTGGCCAACATGGTGAAACCCCGTCTCTACAAAAAAAAAAAAAACAAAAAAAAAAAAAAAAAAATTAGCTGGGCATGGTGGCCAATGCCTGTAATCCCAGCTGCTCGGGAGGCTGAGACAGGAGAATTGCTTGAACCTGGGAGGTGGAGGTTGCAGTGAGCTGAGATCCACTATTGCACTCCAGCCTGGGCAACAAGAGTGAAAACTCCATCAAAAAAAAGAAAGAAAGAAAGAGAAAAGAAAGAAAGAAAGACTGCTGTTTAATGAAGACACCTTCATCAATTATCTTAGCTAAATCTTCTGAATAACTTGTTGCAGCTTCAACATCATCAATTGCTGCTTCACTTTGCACTTTCTTGAACCTGGGAGGCGGAGGTTGCAGTGAGCTGAGATCCACCATTGCACTCCAGCCTGGGCAACAAGAGTGAGACTCTGTCTCAAAACAAAAGAAAGCAAACAAACGAAAAGTGTTATTCAGTGAGTGCATGATAAAAAAGCTAAATAGCTTTGTTTGTTGCTGGTATGCAAAGTTTTAGTGGTCTGGATAGATCAGACCAGCCACAATATTCTCTTAAGCCAAAGCCTAATCCAGAACAAGGCCCTGACTCTCTTTAATTCTGAGAAGGCTGAGAGAGGTGAGGAAGCTGCAGAAGAAAAGTTGGAACTTAGCAGAGGTTGGTTCATGAGATTTAAGGAAAGAAGCCATCTTTATAATGTAAAAGTGCAAGGTGGACCAGGTGCGGTGGCTAACGCCTGTAATCCCACCACTTGGGAGGCTGAGGTGGGCGGATATAGAGGTCAGGAAATGGAGACCATCCTGGCTAACACAGTGAAACCCTGTCTCTACTAAAAATACAAAAAATTAGTTGGGTGTGGTGGCGGGTACCTGTAGTCCGAGCTACTCGGGAGGCTGAGGCAGGAGAATGGCGTGAACCCAGGAGGCAGAGCTTACAGTGAACCGAGATCGCGCCACTGCGTTCCAGCCTGGGCAACAGAGCGAGCTCCGTCTCAAAAAAAAAAAAAAAAAAAAAAAGTGCAAAGTGAAGCAGCAATTGATGATGTTGAAGCTGCAACAAGTTATTCAGAAGATTTAGCTAAGATAATTGATGAAGGTGTCTTCATTAAACAGCAGTCTTTCTTTCTTTCTTTTCTCTTTTTTTCTTTCTTTTCTTTCTTTCTTTTTTTTGATGGAGTTTTCACTCTTGTTGCCCAGGCTGGAATGCAGTGGTGCAATCTCAGCTCACTGCAACCTCTACCTCCTGGGTTCAAGCAATTCTCCTGTCTCAGCCTCCAGAGTAGCTGGGATTACAGGCATGTGCCACCACGCCCGGCTAATTTTTAACATTTTTTTTTTTTTTTTAATGTTAGTAGAGATGGGATTTCACCATGTTGGTCAGGTTGGTCTCGAACTCCTGACCTCAGATGATCCGCCCGTCTCGGCCTCCCAAAGTGCTGGGATTATAGACATGAGCCATCACCTCCCGCAACAGATTTTTAATGTAGACAAAACAGCCTTATATTGGAAGGGAGATGCCAGATATAACTTTCATACATAGAGAGAAACCTGGCAACTTCAAAGGACGGACTGACTCTCTTGTTAGGAGCTAATGCAGCTAGTGACCTTAAGTTGAAACCAATGCTCATTTACCATTATAAGAATCCTAAGACCCTTCAGAATTATGCTAAATCTACTCTGCCTATGCTCTGTCAGTGGAACAACAAAGCCTGGATGATAGTACATCTGTTTACAGAGGGTTTACTGAATATTTTAAGCCCACTGTTGAGACCTACTACTCAGAAAAATATTCCTTTCAAAATATTACTGCTCATTGAAAATGCATCTAGTCGTCCAAGAGCTCTAAGGGAGATGTATAGGGAGATTAATGTTGTTTTCATGCCTGCTAGCACAAGATTCATTCTGTAACCCTTGGATGAAGAAGTAATTTTGACTTTCAAGTCTTATTATGTAAGAAATACAACTTGGAAGGCTATAGCTGCCATAGATACTGATTCCTTGGACTGATCAGGGCAAAATAAATTGAAAACCTTCTGGAAAGCATGTGCCATTATAGATGCCCTTAAGAACATTGGTGATAGGCCGGGCGCGGTGGCTCAAGCTTGTAATCCCAGCACTTTGGGAGGCCGAGACGGGCGGATCACGAGGTCAGGAGATCGAGACCATCCTGGCTAACACGGTGAAACCCCGTCTCTACTAAAAAATACAAAAAACTAGCCGGGCGAGGTGGCGGGCGCCTGTAGTCCCAGCTACTCCGGAGGCTGAGGCAGGAGAATGGCATAAACCCGGGAGGCGGAGCTTGCAGTGAGCTGAGATCCGGCCACTGCACTCCAGCCTGGGCGACAGAGCGAGACTCCGTCTCAAAAAAAAAAGAACATTGGTGATCATGTCAAAATATCAACAGTAACAGGAGTTTCGAAAAAGTTGATTGCAGCCCTCATGGATGACTTTGAAGGAGTCAAGACTTCAGTGGAGGAAGTAACTGCAGATATGGTGGAAATAGCAGGAGATGTAGAATTAGAAGTGGGGCCTAAAGATGTGACTGAAATGCTGCAATCTCACGATAAAACTTGAATGGACGAGGACTTGATTGTTATGGATGAGCAAAGAAAGCAGTTTCTGGGCTGGGTGTGGTGACTCACACCTATAATCCCAATACTTGGGAGGCTGAGGCAGGTGGATCACTTGAGCCCAGGAGTTCAAGACCAGCCTGGACAGCATGACAAAAGCTCATCTCTATTAAAAATACAAAAACTAGCCGGGCATGGGTGGCATATGCCTGTAGTCCCAGCTACTCAGGGAACTGAAGTAGGAGGATCACCTGAGCCTTGGGAGGTCAAGACTGTAGTGAGCCATGATCACACCACCACACTCCAGCCTGGATGACAGAGTGACACCCTGTCTCAAAAAACAAAAGAAAAAAAACAAAAAACAAAAAAACGTAGCTTCTGGAGATGGAATGTATTCCTGGTAAAGATGTTGTAAACATTGTTAAAATGACAACAGAGATTTTGAATAGTATATAAACTTAGTTAATAAAGCAGTGGTACAGTTTGAGAGCATTGCTTCCAATTCTGAAAGAAGTTCTGTGGTGGATAAAGTGCTGTCAGCGTCCCATACTACAGAGAAATCTTTCATGAAGGAAGAGTAAATTGATGGATGCAGGAAACGTCCTTGTTGTCGTATTTTAAGAAATTGCTATAGCATGCCAGCCTTCAGCAAGCACCACTCTAATCCGTCAACAGCCATCAACATTGAGGCAAGGCCTTTCACCTGCAAAGTGATTGTTTTGCTGAAGGCTGAGCTGATCATTAGCGTTTTTTTTTTTCTTTCTTTTTTTTTTTTTGGAGACCTAGTCTCACTCTGTCGCCCAAGCTCAAGTGCAGTAGCACAATCCTCAGCCTCCCCAGTAGCTGGGATTACAGGCTCCCACCACCACGCCCCGCTAATTTTTGTATTTTTAGTAGAGACAGGATTTCGCCGTGTTGGCCAGGCTGGTCTCGAACTCCTGACCTCAGGTGATCCGCCTGCCTCAGCCTCCTAAAGTGTTGGGATTACAGACGTGAGCCACCGTGCCCGGCTTGTCACAGTTTTTGAAGATAACATAAGATTTGTCATTTTATGATTTTTAAGTGTATAATTAAGTGGCATTAATTACTTTCATTATATCTTGCAACCATTATGGCTATTTCTAAAGCTTTTTCATCACCCAAACTGAAACTCTGTAACCACTGACCAATAATAACTCTTCATTTCCCCTGCTCCCAGCCCCCGGTAAACTCTAATCTACTTTCTGTCTTGATGCATTTGCCTCTTCTAGACGTTTCATATACTGTAAGTGCACTATTTGTTCTTTTGTCTTTGGCTTATTCAGCATGATATTGTCAAGGTTCATCCATGTTCATTCCTTTTTATGTCTGAGTAATATCCCATGGTATGGATAGACCATGTTTTGGAAAACATGGCTTTTAACGGTTCCGTAATCCTCCTGTATGTGGAAGGATCCTGTTTTCTTAGCCCTTCTCCTCTTTTTGCCCTCACTCAGATAAGCCACGTAGCAGATATGCTGTTAACAACACGGGCGACCATGCTGATGACCAGGATGGCGATGCCAGGTAAGGGTTTTGGGGTCACTTCAGGGTGGGGGCTCGTCCTGGTCCCAGGCCTGGACAAAGCCCCACCCTCCTGTTCGCCCAGATTTTTTTTCCATTTAGTGTGTGCTTTCAGGTAGTGTGGAGTGGAGGATTGCATAGACAGTCTTGGACACCTCTTCCAGCTTCAGGCCTGTCTGGTGGGTAAAGCAGGTCAGAGAACAGATGAGGCCATGTCCCTGTGGGATGTCTATCTCCTATGAAAGAAATGTAGAGGAAAGCAGACCCCTATGTTGTTGTCTTTGTTTTTTTTTTTGAGACGGAGTCTCGCTCTGTCGCCCAGGCTGGAGTGCAGTGGCCGGATCTCAGCTCACTGCAAGCTCCGCCTCCCAGGTTCATGCCATTCTCCTGCCTCAGCCTCCTGAGTAGCTGGGATTACAGGCGCCCGCCACCTCACCCGGCTAGTTTTTTGTATTTTTTAGTAGAGACGGGGTTTCACCGTGTTAGCCAGGATGGTCTCGATCTCCTGACCTCGTGATCCGCCCGTCTCGGCCTCCCAAAGTGCTGGGATTACAGGCTTGAGCCACCGCGCCCGGCCACCTTGTTGTTGTCTTTGGTTTTAATTCCTTGAGCATGTACCCAGAGGTCAAATGCAGGTGCTTGGGTGTAGCTCAGGCTGGTCAAGTCCCTTCTTGGAGTCCAGGCTTAGGTGGTGATGTGGGCAGTGAGGCTTAGAGCTGGGATGGTGTGAACCTGGATGTTCTTTGATGTACTTTTAAGCACAGATGAAGGGTGGATCCAGTTCCTTCCTGTGTTTGTGCCCCCTGCTCTCTCTGGGAGGCACTACCGGGGTAGGAACTTTAGAAATGACCACTTCTGCTTTCTGTTCATTTTGAAGCATAGTAAATGCTAACATAGGCCCAGGTGAAGGAAGATTGTGAGTTACCTGCCCTGAGTTCCCTTAAACACAGACAAGGCCTGTGTGGAGTCAAGGACTTGTCCTCCACCATCCCGGGAAAAAGTAGCTAAGATCCCTAGGTGGGGCCTTTGCTGTGCAGCAAGGTAGTGCTGTTTCTCTGCAGTTCTCTGACGAGGCAGCACCACACCTGCCATGGCAATTTGCAGTTCTTTTTAAAAAATTTTTATTGATTGATGGTAGAGATGGGGTCTTGCTTTGTTGCCCAGGCTGGTCCTGAGCTCCTGGCTTCAAGTGATCTTCCTTCCTTGGCCTCCCAAATTTTTGGGATTACGTACATAAGCCACCATGCCTGGCCACAATTTGTGGTTCTAAGAGTGTGATTTTTATCCTCTTTTGGGAGGATGTTGGGGCCTCTGGCATGACCAATGACTTTCTCTGAGTGGAGTGGGCTTTGGAAGGGGGATGGAGCTTGCTGGACACCCCATTGGACTGTCATTTTGATGTAGAGGCCTGTGGTTGTCTTGTCCTTTAAATGTGGTGGTGGAACAAACTCTGGTTTGTCACAGGCATGTAGAATGCTTTTGCCCTTGCACAGTGCATAGGTATTTCTTGTTCTCCTTCCAGCTGTGCCACAGATCAGCTTAGAGCAGGGCTGGCTGCTGGGCAGCCCCCACATTATCCTTACTCCAAGCTGCAGTGGATGTGAGGCCCAGGCTGCTGAAGACTCAGAAGGAAGGCTGGCAGTACCTAATTCCTGCAGTTAATTTTCAGACTTATACAGTGACATGACCATGAGGATATTTTCTAGGGAATTAATTTAATACTTAACTTAATGAAGAGGTAAAACTGTGGGAGGGGCGTGCCTCTCTCTAGAATCTTTTATTGAAAAATTGCTTCATTCAGTAATTTTAGCACATCATATATCTGTAAGTCTCACTGCCTGCCACTCATGTTTTCCAGATACAGGGTTAATCCCCTTAGGGACTCAGTTCCCCTCCTGTTTTATTTTGTCATGTAGGCCCACAAGCCCCTGCTCTGCCTTGTCATAGCTCAGAGCATGTTCCTGAAGCAAGGCAGTGAAAGTGCATCAAATCTACTCTGTGTGTCTTTGATTGTTGTTCCCCAAAGTACTTTTCTTTCTGAAACCAGGGCTTCGGTTTGCCACACTGAAACAGTATTAACAGGCTACACAGTAACTTGTGAGGGGTCGTGGCTTGCCTTAGAGAAGTGAGGACACAGCCGTGCTGCTCACTATTACAAACACTGGCGAATGTGGCCATTTAAATTGAAATTAACTGAAATAGGCCAGATGTGAGGCTCATGCCTGTAATCCAAGCACTTTGGGAGGCCGAGGCAGGTGGATCACCTGAAGTCAGGAGACCAGCCTGGCCAACATGGCAAAACCCTGCCTCTACTAAAAATACAAAAATTAGGCATGGGGGCACATGTCTGTAATCCTAGCTACTCTGGAGGCTGCGGCAGGAGAATCAGTTGAACTTGGGAGGCGGAGGTTGCAGTGAGCTGAGATCGCACCACTGCTCTCCAGTTTGGGCAACAAAGCGAGAGTCTGTCTCAAAAAAAAAAAAAAAAAAAAAAAGAAGAAGAATAAGAAATAACTGAAATAAAATAAAAAATTGACTTGCTCAGTTGCACATGTCACATTTCAGGTTTTCAGTGTCTACATGGAAATAGTGTCTACCATATTAAATGGTTCTGATTTGGAACAGTCCCATCACAGTAGAAAGTTCTACTGGGGCCGGGAGCCGTAGCTCATGCCTGTAATCCCACCACTTTGGGTGTCCAAGGTGGGGGGATCACTTGAGGCCAGATGTTTGAGAACAGTCTGGGCGAAACCCCATCTCTACAAAAAATACAAAACTTAGCTGGGTTGGTGACCTGCGCCTGTGATCCCAGCCACTGAGGAGGCTGAGGGAGAGGGTAGCTTGAGCCCAGCACGTGGAGGTTGCAGTGAGCCGAGATCATGCCGCTGTACTCCAGCCTGAGCCTTGAGTGACAGAGTGAGACCCTGTCTCAAAAAAAAAAAAAAAATAAAAATAAAAAAATTGGACAGTGCTGGCTTAGAGAGGGGGCTGGTCATCAAGATATGGTTCAGGGCTGGGCACAGTGGCCTATGCCTGTAATCCCGGCACTTTGGGAGACTGAGGTGGGCAGATGGCTTGAGCTCAGGAGTTCGACACCAGCATGGGCAATACGACGAAGTCCTGTCTCTACCAAAAATACAAAAAATTAGCCTGGCGTGGTGGCACACGCCTGTGGTCTCAGCTGCTCAGGAGGCTGAGGTGGGAGGATTGCTTGAGTCTGGGAGGCAGAGATTGCAGTAAGCCAAGATCACGTTGCTTCACTCCAACTTGGGTGACAGAGTGAGATCCCCCTCTCAAAAACAATTTGAGATATAATTCAGGGTATATAGATTAACTGTTACTTATTTTTTGTAACTCTTCTATAATTCAATTATGAGAAAAGAAAATGGATATTGTTCAGTGTCTCTAAGACTTGAAACCAAGGTCAGAAAAGATGTAGTGTTCCCTGGGTATTAGGGGCCATGGTGCCCATGCTTAAATGTACTATGTGTCCCCACATTGGCAAGGGCAGAAGCCATCAAGCCAGGTCTGAGAGATAGCCTGGTGTTCTTCAGAAAGGCTGGTGTGGGCATGTCCCTGTCTGTGTGGACACCATCTTCCTGCTCCCTTCTTTGAAACTGCGAGCAGTGCTTAGGCCACTACTTCAGAGAATGGGGAGCTACAGGTTTAGAGAACTGATTTCTTGCATTTTCAAAATGCTCTGAAATCCTACTATTATTATCATTATTTTGAGACGGAGTTTTGCTCTTGTTGCCCAGGCTGGGGTGTAATGGCGCGATCTTGGCTCACCGCAACCTCTGCCTCCCAGGTTCAAGTGATTCTCCTGCCTCAGCCTCCCAAATAGATGAGATTACAGGTATGCACCACCACGCCTGGCTAATTTTGTATTTTTAGTAGAGATGGAGTTTCTTCATGTTGGTCAGGCTGGTCTTGAACTCCTGACCTCAGGTGATCCACCTGCCTCAGCCTCCCAAAGTGCTGGGATTACAGGCAGGAGCCACTACACCCAGCCTAATTTTTTTTTTTTTTTTTTTTTTTTTAAGAGAACCCTGACCTCAGGTGATTGAACTCCTGAGCTTAAGTGATCCTCCCACCTTGGCCTCCCAATGTGCTGGGATTACAGGCATGAGCCCCCTCACCCAGCTACCATCTCGACCCTTTAATTCTCAGGTGACATCTTGGGAATGTGAAATCAGGTGGCACTGCTACTCTCCTCAGGCTTGGCCACTTTTGTAGCAGTGGATCCAACTTGTGGGTGCACTTGGGCCTAGGCCAGATGGGGTCCTTGGCCAGGCAGGCACTCTAGCTCACAACATACAGGTCCTCCCACCAGGCAAACACGAGGCTCTGCCAGGCCTCTCTTGATAGCTTTGCCTCTATTAGCTTCTGTTTTTAGAACCCTACACTGATGTGTTAGAAAGATGCCCTCTCCTTTCTGTAGCTGAGGTTGACACACAAGAAAGCAGGTAGGCATTTTTATCCCCAGGCTTGGGTATTTCCCCCTGCCCAGCCATTGCATCTAGGCTACAGGGCAGTGTACAGGGACAAGTGCAGGTTCAGGGTTCAAAGTTTGACTCTCGCTTTGCAGCCTACAGTGTGTGATCTTGGGCACATTCCTTAGAATGAGCCTTAGTTCCACTGTTTTCTGTAAGATGCCTGAGGGTGGTGAGTTGCCTTCACCTCTTCCTCCCGGATCAGGATGTCGTAAGAGCATCCTTGTCTCTGAGTGTTAGCTGACGGCTCTGCCTCCCTCAGAGGGGCAGACGCAAGTCTGTAAAATGCTCCTGTCAGGAAATGGAGCATTGCCAGACTCAGAAGCCCTCTGTGCTTACTCCTTTTCTTCTGGAGCAAAGGGGCTGCGTTGTGACTTGTGTAGTTGTAGGAGATAGAGCTTCTAGTCAGGCTCCAGCTTGGAGGATTCTGACTTCTTGGGTGATCTTGGGAAAGTCCATGAAACATCTGAATGCTTCCATACGATTCAGCGTGAGGAGCTTGGCAGCTGCTGAGGAAACAGATCCCTTCTGTGGATCTTTGGCAGAGCTCCCACACTGTTTCCACTCCTAGATTCAGGTCTCCTTTCTCTTTCCAAAATACACGGAAAGCAGTATGTCCCAGAACACAAATCTCTGCAGAGGAAAATAAAGTTGTTTTTTTTTGTTTTGTTTTGTTTTTTTGAGATAGAGTTTCACTCTGTCGCCCAAGGCTGGAGTGCAGTGGTGCGATCTTGGCTCACTGCAACCTCACCTCTGGGGTTCAAGCGATTCTCCTGCCTCAGCCTCCTGAGTAGCTGGGATTACAGGCATCCACCACCACACCCAGCTAACTTTTTCTTTTTAAGTAGAGACAGGGTTTCGCCATGTTGGCCAGGCTGGTCTCAAACTCCTGACTTCAAGCGATCCACCCACCACGGCCTCCCAAAGTGCTAGGGTTACAGGCATGAGGCACCGCGCCTGGCCAGAAAGTCAACTCCTAAACTGTTTCTAAAAATCTCAACTAGATAGTGCAGAAGCCCAGATGTTTTCTGACAAATATATATGGATCTCCCATGACTACCTTATTGTTCCAGGCAGAGGCTTAGGGAAGTCAGGTATGCTGGCAGTCACAGTATCTCAAGAATTGGTGCTGGTGAAATTCATATGACATGGTATACTTTTCAGAAGGATTTTGCCTCTGGGAGTCTTATGTGATCTTCTGTAGGAGATTTCTCGCCATGCAGGTGAGAAAACTTTTACTGAAAAGATTAGTTTTAGGCTGGGTGCAGTGGCTCATGCCTGTAATTCCAGCACTTTGGGAGGCCGAGGCAGGAGTATGAGACCAGCCTGGGTAACATTGTGAGACCCCGTCTCTCTCTCTTTTTTTTTTTTTTTTTTTTGAGAAGGAGTCTCGCTCTGTCACCCAGGCTGGAGTATAGTGGTGCGATCTCGGCTCACTGCAAGCTTCGCCTCCCGGGTTCATGCCATTCTCCTGCCTCAGCCTCCTGAGTAGCTGGGACTACAGGCGCCCGCCACCACACCTGGCTAATTTTTTGTATTTTTAGTAGACACAGGGTTTTACCATGTTAGCCAGGATGGTCTCGATCTCCTGACCTCGTGATCCGCCCGCCTCGGCCTCCCAAAGTGCTGGGATTACAGGCGTGAGCCACCGCACCCGGCCCCATCTCTTTTGAAGACAAAAAAGAAAAAAGGAAAAAAAAGAGAGAGAAGATGAGATACTTGTGCACAGGCATCCAGCTAATACATATGGCGCTGGGTCTGACCCAGCTTTTCCAGCCTTGTGCTTACTTCTGAAAAACGACTTTCATTCCTGCCCAGCCCGTACTTCCGTGTGAGAGTTTGACCTTTAGTGAGAAAACCCCATGGTAAGAGTTCAGCGTGGGGAGTGTATGACCCTGTTTCTCAGCGTGGGGAGTGTGTGATCCTGTTTCTCAGTGTGGGGAGTGTGTGATCCTGTTTCTCAGTGTGGGGAGTGTGTGACCCTGTTTCTCAGCCTGGGGTGTGTGTGACCCTGTTTCTTGTCTGGTAAGTTGCTTAGTCATGATGCTCAATGGTAATGCTTAATGGTGGCACTTCTGCTAGACTTTAGTACACTTTTTTATAAAATAGGCTTGTAAGTTTTCATGGTTTTTAAAAAAGCGATATGTTTTTGTTTGGTCTTGATGGTCCTGTTCCCATTTCAGCGAGCCATGTCCTCCAACCGATGAGCAATTGGTTGCAGGGTAAGACCGAGACCTCTCCACCATCTTTCTGTCTTGATTCCGCTGCCTTCTCGTCTTTAATTGTGCTTAATTCCTGGTTTCCCTCAATGTTGAGAGTGACTGATGAGGCACACAGGCGTGGACCTCCCTGCCCCAGTTCCCCCACGAATGCCCAGACTTTCCACCACCCCCGCTTTTTCTCCACCCAGTCATTTAGCTGTTTCACATCACCTGAGAGGCCAAGGCTGGCACCCGGGAGACTTCTGGGACCAGGCATGTCACACAAACCTCTTCCTCCAGGTAGGCACACGTAGTCCTGTGAGGGTGGTGGGCAAGCAGCTGCCACCCTAGAGAGACCTGTGACTATTGCTCCTTGTTTTTATATTTCTGAGGGGTTTTGTGGTGGCCTCTCCCAAGGGTTAGGTAGTAAGTGTGATGCTCAGGCCTAGATGCTATTGAGTGTGCTTAATAGAGGCAGAAATGTTCTCATAGAATTGATATGTTGCTTGTCCGGAGGGCGTGGATGAAGTGCGACTCTTCCATTCCCCTTGACAGTGCCTGTCCTCTGGGCCTTGGAGGTACACACAGCATCTGTGAGCTTCTAGCAAGGTGGGTGGGGGGAGCAGAGTTGAGCTCCTTTCCAGGATGTCCTTCCATCCCTTTTTTTGCCCAAGCTAGAGAGCAAGCCCTGCTCCAGAATAGCTTGGCAGTGATAGAAGGTCTGGCCTGTTTTCTGGCTGGGTTGGTTCATCTTCCTAAACGTGTTTCTCTTGAATATCCAAGTTATTCCAGGAATATTCAGTTTTTGTAACAGATGTTTTATTGTATTGCAGTACGTTTATTAGGCCTTTCACCATCAAAATGAGGGAAAAGGATTTTTATAAATGTTGGAAGCCAATAAAACAAAAAGACACTTTGTTTATGGTTCAGTTTGCTGTTTGTAAGTTTTGCCCCACCCCTAATATCATGAATATAACTCTGTCTTTATGCATATTACTTTACCAGACCCACTATATAAAGTATAAAGCCAGATGGGTGCGGTGGCTCACGCCTGTAATCCCAGCACTTTGGGAGGCCGAGGCGGGCAGATCACGAGGTCAGGAGGTCAAGACCAGCCTGGCCAATGTGGTGAAATCCCGTCTCTACTAAAAAATACGAAAAATTAGCTGGGCGTGGTGGCGCGTGCCTGTAATCCCAGCTATTTGGGAGGCTGAGGCAGGAGGATCGCTTGAACCCAGGAGGCGGAGGCTTCAGTGAGCCGAGATTGTGCCACTACACTCCAGCCTGGGTGACAGAGCAAGACTCCGTCTCCAGGGAAAAAAAAATTAAAAGCCACTCAAGTGTTTTGTCATGGGGCTGGGCGCAGTGGCTCATGCCTGTAATCCCAGCACTTTGGGAGGCCAAGACAGGCAGATCACGAGGTCAGGAGTTCAAGACCAGCCTGACCAACATGGTGACACCCCGTCTCTACTAAAAATACAAAAATTAGCCGGGCGTGGTGGTGGGCGCCTGTAATCCCAGCTACTCGGGAGGTTGAGGCAGGAGAATCGCTTGAACCCGGGAGGCGGAGGTTGAAGTGAGCTGAGATTATACCATTGCACTCCAGCCTGGGGGACAAGAGCAAGACTTTGTCTCAAAAAAAAAAAAAAAAAAGTGTTCTGTCATTATATGTGTGTAATATTAAGGTGTGAGGAATAGATTTCTCTGTGGGCCAGATTTGCTCAGATAAACAGAGTGGCTAACTACCACCCTGCTGGCTGCCTCAGAGGGCTCCATGAACAGCCACTAAGTCAATGTGATTTTTTTTTTTTTTTGGGACGAGTTTTGCTCTGTCACCCAGGCTGGAGTGCAGTGGCACCATCTCCGCTCACTTCAAACTCCGCTGTCCAGGTTCAAGCGATTCTCCTGCCTCAGCCTCCCGACTAGCTGGGACTACAGGCGTGTACCACTGCACCCGGCTAATTTTTGTATTTTTAGTAAAGACAGGGTTTCACCATGTTGGTCAGGCTGGTCTCGAACTCCTGACTTCAGGTAATCCACCTGCGTCAGCCTCCCAAAGTGCTTGGATTACAGGCGTGAACTACCGTGCCCAGCCCAATGTGACTTTTTTACTTCAGCTCACAGATTTCCAGTTGGCTGTTTCTGCAGACCCTGGCCTCTAGCAGGGAAAGAGCCTTTTATTTGGCTGTTGTGAGGGTGCCTTGAAGTTTAGGTATTTATGAATGTGAATTGGGCTACCACTGCTTGCCTCTGAAAATCCCAGGAACCATCTTACAGCCAAACTAAATTTGGTCCCTGGACTGGTGCTTGAGGACTGAGGCTGAGACATGGCCGTGACTCTTTATGACAGAGCAGCAGTTTTTAGTGGAGATTTTGGGCTGTCAGAGCAAGGGACCTTTCTGGAGTGGTGGTGGTTATTTTTCTGTTATCTCTGTGTCCCTGAGTCACTTGGTGGCAGAATGGAGGGGCACTGTTTAGATAGGAGGTGAGGTGTTGGCCCTGGGTCAGTTGCTAGAGCCGAAGTGTTTGGTGGTGGTTTAATACCTCAACCCCTCCTTCAACATTACCATGTCCCACACATGGGAGTTATAGGACAGAGTGAGCCATTTAGGGTTTTTGAGGAAAGCATGTTATGCCTGTGGTGTAAGGCACTTGAATCCTCCATCTCTGCAGGAGAGACCTGCAGTGGGTTGCTGAGGACTTGGCTGTGGGTCCTGCATTTCCCAGGATATCTCTAACGAGATTGATTTCAGAAGGTCCAACTGCAACCTGACTGGGTTGAGAGGCTGTTTCCAAATGGCACAAATAGGTTTGACCAAACCCTCGTATGTGGTTTGTTTGTGGGCTTGTTTGGGGTGACTTCAGATGGTTAGAGGGTCGTGCCAGTGCAGGAGGAAGGCTGGAAAACAGCGTGAGCCCCACAGCCCATGGTAGACTTGCAAAGAATCCTGTAGCTACTTGCCATTTGCTATTACAGAGCTGAGCTACAGTGCATTTCAAAGCAGACCTTCCTTTTTTATCACAATATGGAGGAGTTATGTTAGTCTCTCCCACCCCTTCGCCAAGAGGGCCTCCAGGGAAGAAGCATGACCAGGGATCACACTAAAATGTCTGTCCTCAATGGTCTCTTCTAGGACCTTAGGGGGTCCCCCTGTCCAGGGGCAGAATATGGCCCCAGGGAGGCTAGAGCTGCCTTCCCCAAGATACTGTATCCTCCTGACCTAGATATTAGAAATATTTTTCCTGGGTGGAGAGATATGCATGGGACTTCTCTCCCTTCTGGGTCCAGATCAGAGGTAGTACATTTGTGTTTCTAGAGCCTTCAGAGCCCTGGGTTCTAAGATAAGAGTCAGCACCACCCACAGCACCCCTGCCGGTGATGCTCCCTTATCCGGATCCCCCCAGGCAGGAGACATCAGCATTGCCAGTAAGGAGACATAAGGGCACAGATGATCTTGAAAAGGGATGCCCTCCCTCCCACACCACAGCTGTTCCCACTTTTCCATGGCACCCGTACAACCCTGTATTTCTGCCATTTGGAAATAGCTGTGATCACGGTGGGCTTGCACATCTTACACAAAGTTTCTTCCATGATAAAAACTGGGAAGTTTAAGTGTTGGGGATAAGAGAATGGCTGGGCAGCCACGCTATGAGGAAGGAAGTCAGCGCTCTGCACGCCTCCCTGTGCACCGTCCCCTTGCCCTCCATGCGGTTCTGTGGGTGAAGGGCCAGGGTCCTGGGAGTTGAAGGTGCAGCCCAGCAAACCTGAGTATAATTGGGAGAGGCCCCCTCTGCCTGTGACCCTTAAAGAGCGGCTCCTCAGGGCAGTGCTGGCTCCAGCTGATCCTCCCTTTGAAAGCAAACTGCAACTGCTTCTCTCCTGAATTTAATAGAGCATGCCAAAAAATGACAGCATGTGCCTTCAGTCTGTGCTTCTCATGCCTTTTACCTTGTAATTCTGGTGATCTTACATCCGTAACCTCTGGGATTGCTACAGAAGGGCAACTGTTAGTAGCTTTCATCAGCAGTCGGGGCAGAGCAACTCCATGAAGGTGCAGTTTACTGAGACCCTTCCGCTCTGGGGCCAGCAGGGCATGGTGCTGTGGTACTTTGTTAACTTATTTTTATTCTACCTCTTTTAAATTTTAAGGTTTTCAGATGTTATTCTGGCAACAATTTTGGCAACCAAGTCTGAAATGTGTGGCCAAAAATTTGAACTGAAGATTGATAATGTGCGGTTTGTTGGGCACCCAACACTGCTACAGCATGCTCTGGGGCAGGTATGGCTCTCCCTGGGCAGATAGGACTCTCCTTGGGCAGGTTGGGTTCTCCCTGGGCACGCAAAGACCCTCTAGGTAGATGTGGCTCTCCCTGGGCTGGCAGGCCTGGTCCATTCTGGCTCTGGGGGGCTCAGAACTGAGGCTGACACCAGCTCTGGTGAAAGTAACTGTTAGGCAGGAGACCTGATTAGACACTTGCTATGAATTGTGCATCTTCATAAACCCTGAGAGGCCAGTGGGAAAAGAGACAGGTGTCCTTGCCCCTGAAGACAGGTGCTTCAGTCCCTGCCCCTAGCTTTTGCAGTCTGCATTCTAGGTCTCTACTGACTGTGGTCCTGCCCTTTATATATAGGATGTCTGTTTCCAGGGGAGGCCAAGATGAGTTAACTAGCATCTGTCAGACCCTTGAATTTTATACAATGTGGTGCAAGCATTTCCTCTTATTTATTACAAGACACTCTAATAGCTAATATTAGTATTATTTAGCACTTATTTTTCTGCTAAACCCTCTCTATGTGTTCTCTGATGAATCAGTGTCATAGCACTGAGGAATTCATCTTGCTAGCAGGATGAAGGGAACTTGTACACCAGAGCCTGCCAGTCAGCTCTCTGCATATAGGCAGGATCAGTGATGGCATTACTCAGATTCTGAAGGGTAGAACACATAACATAGGATTTAGCTACATTTATACAGATCCAGCAATTGTGTGAGGTTCTGTGGTATTATTCGTGAACCTCCATGGAAGGAGTTTCTGAGGCCATTGATGTGCCTGGCCCCCTGGACCTCACCCTCCTTTCTCATCACAGCCCCCACAGCTGGGGCACAGTCCCCTACCTGGAGGCAATGGAGGGGAGAGTTGGCAGCCTGCCTGCGGTCACACCCTGTAGACAGGAGTTGCAGTCAGGGGTAGGGGATGAGTGCAAGGGCCGCCTGGGGCCCCAGCTCCCCCTGGTGGCAGAACTTGTAGTTGGCTTTGAAGAGTTCCCTTGTGCCCCTTGGAATGCTTCACTTGAGTGCCCTGGTCCTTGTGAAGCTGGCTAGATGCCAGAACTGGGAGTACAGAGATTAGGACTTGCTGGCCTGCCTCACCTGGGCCCTGCTCAAGACTTGGCTGTCCCTGATCATTGTCTTGTCCCTAAATTGTTCTCAGTATGCGTCATACTTAGCAGATACAGCCTGGGTGGACGCAGGTGGACACGGGACAGCAGTGGGGGTATGGTCTGGGTCATCCACCCATTTATGCCCCTCTCCATCCCATCCCCGTCCCCTGTGGGCATTGTCAGCTCACTTCTGTTAGCGGTTGTGGGGGTGGAGGGGTCAGAGCACTGACCTTCTCACTCTTGTCATAGTTGTGACTGTCCATGCAGTAGGCACGCCTCTAGAACAAAGGCATTCATTGCTTTTCCAAGACCTTGGTGCCATATTCTGGGGACTTTTCCTATGCCTGAAGTAGAATAGCTCTAAACAGCTTCTTTCCTTAGAAAGTCGTCTCAATTAATTAGAATTATGCATCTTTTACAGGTCTCCAAAACAGATCCTTCCCCGAAGAGGGAAGCACCTACTATGATTCTTTTTAATGTGGTGTTTGCACTGAGGGTGAGTGTTTATATAAATGGTTAAGATCAGGGAGTGGGGCTGGGGAGAAGCAGCTCTTTCTTCCTACGAGCGTGTCATTGACTCGGAGCTTGGACTGCAGTGGTCGTGGTGCTGGCCCCTCTTGGGGTGCAGACAGACTGCACTTCATTGTTTACCACTTTTTGTTTTGGTAAAATACACATGACACTATTTGTCATTTTGAAGGCTATGCTTCAGTGGCATCTGGTACATTCATGTTGTATAACCATCACCACTATTTAGATCTAGAACACTTTAACCACCCCAGAAGGAAACCCCATACCCATTAGCAGTTATTCTCTTTTTTTTTTTTTTTCTTTTGAGACAGAATCTCACTGTGTCACCCAGGCTGGAGTGTGGTAGCACAATCTTGGCTCAGTGCAAACCCCGCCTCCCAGGCTCAAGTGACTCTGATGCCTCAGCCTCCCGAGTAGCTGGGATTACAGGCATACGCCACCATGCCCAGCTAATTTTTGTATTTTTAGTAGAGACGGGGTCTCGCCATGTTGGCCAGGCTGGTCTTGAACTCCTGACCTCAGGTGATCCTCCCACTTTGGCCTCCCAGACTGTTGGGATTACAGGCGTGACCCACTGCGTGCGGCCCCTGCTAATTTTTGTATTTTTTGTAGAGATGAGTTTTCACCTTATTGCCCAGGCTGATCTTGAACTCCTGGGCTCAAATGATCTTCCCTCCTTGGCCACCCAAAGTGCTGAGATTCCAGGTGTGAGCCACCACGCCCAGCTGGAGCTTAATTTTTAAGACAGGCCTGCCTTGTTGGTAAATAAGGAGCTACAAATTAAAACAAAATGATTTGTTAATTGCTTCTGGGGCATAGGGTTCTGGGAGAAGTTCTTCCCTTTCTGCTTGATACACTTTTGTAGTATTTGCATTTTCATAGTATCTTTGTATTTCTTACATAATTACATAATATAAAGAGTCACAAAGAAAAATGAAGTAAGTCAAAAAACAAGCAAATGAATAAACAAAATCCATGACAAATGTCCACCTGTCAACACCGATAACCCCTGTGGGTCAGTCGATGAGAAGCAGCCACAGCCCCACCCAGGATGCTGCAGGCAGGCCCTCAGCTCTGGGGAACAGTGACAGCAGAGCATATGATGCCCTTAGATCTAGCAATCCCACTGTTAGGAGTATTATCAAGAAAACAAGCAACTTTTACAACTGCATAAAGATTTCCCCCCGGCTTGTTCTCAGCAAGAATAAAGATTTTTTTTTTTTTTTTTTTTTTTTTTTTTTGGAGACGGAGTCTCGCTCCGTAGCCCAGGCTGGAGTGCAGTGGCCGGATCTCAGCTCACTGCAAGCTCCGCCTCCCGGGTTTACGCCATTCTCCTGCCTCAGCCTCCCGAGTAGCTGGGACTACAGGCGCCCGCCACCTCGCCCGGCTAGATTTTTTTGTATTTTTTTTAGTAGAGACAGGGTTTCACCGTGTTAGCCAGGATGGTCTCGATCTCCTGACCTCGTGATCCGCCCGACTCGGCCTCCCAAAGTGCTGGGATTACAGGCTTGAGCCACCGCGCCCGGCCAAGAATAAAGATTTTTATAACAGTAATTAAACTGGAGATAATCGTGGTGTCTAGTACTTGGGGAATGATTAAACAATGTGGTAATTATTATACACTGGCCCATTCTCTTGCCATTGAGGATGAGAAATGGAGATCAGACCAGAACCTGGAGAAGTATGGATTGATTATGGACAGGTAAAAGCAGCGGGAGCTGAGCACAATGGCTTACGCCTGTAATCCCAGCACTTTGGGAGGCCGAAGTGGGTGGATCACCTGAGGTCAGAAGTTTGAGACCAGCCTGACCAGCATGGAGATACCCTGTCTTTACTAAAAAATATGAAATTAGCCGGGTGTGGTGGTGGATGCCTGTAATCCCAGCTACTCGGGTGGCTGAGGCAGTAGAATCGCCTGAACCCGGGAGGCAGAGGTTGCAGTGAGCCAAGATCGCGCCATTGCACTCCAGTCTGGGTGACAAGAGCGAAACTCCATCTCAAAAAAAAAAAAAAAAAAGACAACAGGAAACAAGATAGTCTAGGGCTTCAGCTGGCGGTGATATTGACAAGTGGGAGAAATTTGGATAATGTAAGAGTTTGTATTTTTTGGGTGGACAAGTGTTTCTTTTTAAAATATACACTTTTGGCCAGGCACAGTGGCTCACTCCTGTAATCCTAGCACTTCGGGAGGCCAAGGTAGGTGGATCACTTGAGCCCAGGAGTTTGAGACCAGCCTGGGCAACATAGCGAAATCCCGTCTCTACAAAAAATACAAAAATTAGCCAGGCATGTTGATGCGCGCCTGTAGTCCCAGCTATTTTTGAGGCTGAAGTGGGAGGATCACCTGAGCCTGGAAGGTCAAAGTGGCACTGAGCAGTGATCATGCCACTGCACCCCAGCTTGGGCAACAGAGTGAGACCCTATCTTAAAAAATATATATGTATCCTTTTTTTTTTTTTTTTACTTTGAACAATTTTAAACCCTTAACTAGAGAAAGCAGACTGATAAACCTTATATGCCTGTCTCAGGTGCCTTTATACCCTGGTTCCATATATTTCCTTCCCTCTCTCTATTTCAAGGCAAGTACCAGACCTTATGTCTGTTCATCCCTACATACTTCCGAAGGTATCTGTGTAAAATATGGGCACTTAATTTTTGGCCATGATACCCTTTGTACATCTGAAAAAATTTACTGTAATAAGTTGGCATCACCTAGTACCTGCTCCGCTGAAGCTTTTCCTGATTGCTAAAGCATTTTCGCAGCTGGACTGTCTGAACCAGGATGCAAACCCGGTGCAGCTAGTGCACATGGTGTCTTTATGTCTCTGCCAATCCAGAGGTCTCCCCTTCCTTTGTTCCATCAAATGTTCCACATTTGGATTCATCTCATTGTGCAGTCAGACTTGCTCTCTGGCCCTGTGTTTCCTGTAAACTAGAAGTTAACTCTGAAGGCTTGGTTCTCTTTGGGTACAAGTTTTGGGGATGAGAAGGTCTCATGGATGACGCCTTAAACTTCATGCCTTTTTACGTTGTGTATGGTGAAAATACGATGTCTCTAAGAGTTCCTTTTAGTGCTGGCACACCCTAGGTGTTACCTTTCTCAGCATGTCCCTCACTCAGTGTCAGACCTTTGCAAACGGACATGCTGGGTTTGCACGGAGTGCAGGTCATTGGGCGTCACTGGGGACTGCATCCCCTTGTATGTCTGGAAAGGTCAAGCATATGGGCCCTGGACATCCAACTCATGGACGGTGTTGTGCCTCAGCTGAATAATCACATATCCAGGATCATTCTCCTCCTCCTTGCTTTGCTCATAGAAGTATTTGTACACAGATTCTTCTTCTAAATGGGTGTTTTGTTTTGAGGCAATTGTATATACCCCATATGTCAGCCCTTTGGTTCCAGGGACACTGTTGAGGGGATGCCCTTGACATGGAGGAGTAGGCCTGCTGCCCAGTGGTGGGCATGGCATGGGAGCACCAGTCGGTCCTTTCTCTGGCAAGGGATGCTGCCTTGTTGTAAGTCCACCCAGGTGTGAGTTCTGTTTGTGAACATGGGATCTGATGAGAGTATAGAGAATTTCTTCAGCTCCACGTGAAGAAAGTATTTACTGTCTGGGTCAGGCTTTGCCCCTGAAGCCTGGCTGTGAACACTTTGGGCATGGCCTTCCCTCTCAGATAAACAGGAGGAGGAGGCAGCACCAGAGGTTGTAATCAGCAGTACCATTCACCCCTTTCCCTTGTCCCATCTTCACCCCCACAGGATGATTCAGCAGTCCTGTTGGCCTCCAGAAGCACTGAGTCATGGTTGGCCCAGTTATCTGCTCCCTCAGATGTTTTCACAGATCCCCACAGCTGCATGCCTCCGCCCTTGGCTTGGGCAGATGTGCTTGCCTGGCTGACTGTGGTGCCTGATAGGTTCCAGAGGGGCGAGGGCCCCTCTTGTTCCTGAGAGCCTCCTGCACTGTCCTTTGACCCAGTCAACATGGTTGCAGAAGGAGTGCTGGGGCAGAGATGTGGGCCAGGAGCCTGCTGGTTTTCTTGTTAACCAGTGTCACTTCTGCTGGGAAGAGCTTCGCATCCTTGAGGACCAAAAGTATTCAGTGAACAATTGGCCAGGCACCTCTGTTTTTGTACTGTGCGTCCCTGTAGTAATGTGGCCTGTTGTGACTGAATTCTTACATATTGTAGACTAGTTCTGCCTACCAGTAGTCAGCAGTACAGTGGTGACCACAGACACTACCAGGGTCTTTGCTCAGGGCAGGCTCTATTCCTAGTTTGTGACATGGCTCACTAATTTCTTCCATTCAGTCCTTTGTGAGGGAGGCACCATTGTTCGTTCTTAAGAGCAACATTTCCAGAGCCATCTCTGCTACTATTCAGGCAGCCACTCCCAGGAATAGAGCATGGGAGCTGACAGCCAGCGTTTCTGTGGATGGGCCCTGGAGGGGACTCAGGAAATGAGCAGCAATGGCCTCTGCAAAGGAGCCTGGGGGAAAGGAGTAGAGACACTTTCTTTCATGGTTTGAGATTTTGCTGTGTACACGTATTAGCTCCATTTAAACTGTCCAGCTGTGTCCCTGTGCATACGTTTGAGTCTGTGCATGGTCTCTCTCCCGCAGGCCAATGCAGACCCGTCAGTGATAAACTGTCTGCATAACCTGTCCCGTCGCATTGCCACTGTGCTGCAGCACGAGGAGCGCCGCTGCCAGTACCTCACCCGGGAGGCCAAGCTGATCCTGGCGCTCCAGGATGAGGTGTCCGCCATGGCTGATGGTGAGTGCAGCAGGGCGTGATGGGCGTGTGTCTGGGCTGGCTGGTGGCCTCTCTGCAGTGCAGACCTCTGTGGAGGGCTGTCATTCAGTGTTAATGGTGCACGTGTTGGTGGGGCCTCACCCACCCCAACACCAGCAGAGCAGTCAGAAGCTTGCAAGCATCAGCTTTTGGTGAGCTGGGCATTGAAAATGAAGTCCTCACAATAGCTTTGCAAGGCAGGGTCCATGATCATCCCCATTTTGCAGTTGTGGAAACTAAGGCTAAGAGAAGTTACATGATCTTCACACTGGACCAATTGTGCCTGTGGGGGCACAGGAAGACTCCCAAGGGGCGCATTTGTAGATGAACTTTCCTGGATGGATGTACTGAAATAGATTTCCCAACCAGAAATGTTCTTTCTTTCCACACACTGCTGCATGATCACTGTTCACGTAGGTCAGGCAGCTCTGCCTAGCCCTGGCCCTGTGGGACATGTTGAAGAAAGTATTTACTCCCCAGGGCAGGAGAGGGCGTTGGAAATACCCAGCTGGTGAGGTGGACAGTCTGTTCTTTGCTTTCAGCCAGATTGAAGGAGGACCTAACTGGGCTATCAAATAACCAATTATTAAAAATAATGTTTGCAGATAGAACATTGAGTGGTTTTTGGCCTACTGTAAAGATTTCAAAACAGAGGGACGCCTGTAACAAACTCTCCATTTCCATTTTCTTTGGCAAGCACATCTATAAAAAAGAGAGAATTAGGACAAAACTAAAGTCAGACCTAGTTGTTGTAGCAATAAGTAAAAGTAGCTATTGACATGAACAAATAATAAAAGAACAGCCTCTCTGACTCAGGTGCATTTTCAGTAAAAATTTACTTGTGGCTGGGTGTGGTGGCTCATGCCTGTAATCCCAGCACTTAGGGAGGCTGAGGCGGGTAGATTGCTTGAGCTCAGGAATTCAGGATCAGTGCGGGGAACATGGTGAAATCCTGCCTCTACCAAAAAAACCCAAAAATTAGCCGGGCACAGTCATGTGTGCCCATAGTTCTAGCTACTCGGTATGCTGAGGTGGGAGAATCACCTGAGCCCTGGGAGGCGGAGGTTGCAGTGAGCTGAGATTGCACCACTGCATTCTAGCAAGGGTGACAGAGTGAGACCCTGTCTCAAAAAACAAAAAAACAAAAGAAAAACATTTTATGTTTGGCAATTATCTGTCCAAATTTATAATATGTTTCTGTTTTGGCCAATTGTGTACTAATTATAATTATCATAATAACGATCCAAAAGTTTTGTTTTTTTAAACATTGTCTTTTTAGAGTCTGTGACTTTATCACAGGAAGTTAAAAAAATTTTAAGTCTGCATATATTTTGTTAGAAATTTATGAAAAAGGATGAATAAAAGACTTTTTGGCTAGACGTGGTAGCTCACATCTGTAATCTCAGCACTTTGGGAGGACGAGATGGGAGGATCACTTGAGCCCAGGAGTTTGAGACCAGCCTGGGCCACATAGCGAGACTCCATCTCTACAAAAAATTTAAAAATCAGCAGGTCTAGGGCAGGTGTGGTGGCTCATGCTTATAATCCCAGCAGTTTGGGAGGCCCAGGTGGGTGGATCCCTTGAGGACAGGAGTTCGAGACCAGCCTGGCCATGGTGAATACCTGTCTCTACTAAAAATACAAAAAAATTAACCAGGCATGGTGGTGGGCACCTGTAATCCCAGCTACTTGGGAGCCTGAGGCAGGAGAATTGCTTGAACTCAGGAGGCAGAGGTTGCAGTGAGCTGAGATCACACCATTGCAATCTATCCCGGGCATCAAGAGTGAAACTCCATCTCAAAAAAAAAAAAAAAAAAAAAAAAATTAGCAGGTCTAGTGGTGCATGTGTATGGTCCCAACTAGGTGGGAGTATCGCTTGAGCCTGGGAAGTTGAGACAGAAGTTAGCTATGATCACACCATTGCACACCAGCTCAGGTGACAGAGTGAGACCCTGTCTCAAAAAAAAGGCCGGGCGTGGTGGCTCATGCCTGTAATCCCAGCACTTTAGGAGGCCGAGGTGGGCGGATCACCTGAGGTCAGGAGTTCGAGACCAGCCTGGACAACATAGTGAAACCCCATCTCTAGTAAAAAATACAAAATTAGCTGGGTGTGGTGGCAGGCGCCTGTAGTCCCAGCTACTTGGGAGGCTGAGGCAGAAGAATTGCTTGAACCCGGGAGGCAGAGGTTGCAGTGAGCCGAGATTGTGCCATTGTACTCCAGCCTGGGCAAAAAAGAGTGAAACTCTGTCTCAAAAACAAAAACAAAAAGTTTCCTTGCTTTGGGAGCTGTAAATCTTGTGTTGTGATTCTTGTAGGAAATGAAGGTCCTCAGTCCCCATTCCATCACATCCTGCCCAAGTGCAAGCTGGCCAGGGACCTCAAGGAAGCTTACGACAGGTAAGACAGGTGGGTGTGCTTATTAACATCCTTCTTCTGGGCCAGGCTGCTGGGGCCTGAGGAACAGTGTCAACAGGTAGGGCTCTCTGGTACTGACCACTATTCTCCTGGGGTATGAGCATCAGAGTTCCCTGAGGTTAGGGCCAGAGAGGACTGGGAAGGGATAGTCATGTGGCTGCTCTTGAAAGAAGTGACCTTGGTGGCCGTTTTGTAATTTATTTTTTCCTTCTATTTCTGTTTATTTTTTTCGAGATGGAGTTTTGCTCTTGTTGCCCAGGCTAGAGTGCAATGGTGTGATCTCAGCTCACAGCAACCTCCGCCTCCCGGGTTCAAGAGATTCTCCTGCCTCAGCCTCTCCAGTAGCTGGGATTACAGGCATGTGCCACCACACCCAGCTAATTTTGTATTTTTAGTAGAGACAGGGTTTCTGCATATTGGTCAGGCTGGTCTTGAACTCCCGACCTCAGGTGTGATCCGCCCGCCTCAGCCTCCCAAAGTGCTGGGATTACAGGTGTGCGCCATCATGCCTGGCCGGTGGCCGTTTTTTAAATGCCAGCCCCTTTGCCGAGTAGCACACACTCTGTCTGCTGGAACCACCATCTCCAGACTCCTCTTAAAACAGAAAACGAGTCTGAAATTATACGTGAGAGTCTGAAAGTGTTTTGAAATCACACAACTGCAAAATGACATTTTACTGAGAATGATGCAACACCAAGTTCTGGGCCCGCCTTCACTAGGTGGGTGTCACTGACTCCAGTCACTCATGAGGAAATTGAGGCTCGGTGGGTGGAGCTGGAGCCAGCTGTCTCTTCCTCGCTCTGAGAGAGTTGGGATTTGTGACACTGATTGTGTGAGGGCAGCAAGCCTTGAGGATACCATATAGACCTCACAATTGTTCTGATTATATTGGCTGAACATCACCTTTATTAAATGTGGACAAGCAGGCCGGGCGTGATGACTCACGCCTGTAATCCCAGCACTTTGGGAGGCTGAGGTGGGCGGACTGCTTGAGGTCAGAAGTTCAAGATCAGCCTGAGCAACAATGTGAGATTCCATTTCTACAAAAAATTTTAAAAAAATATCTGAGTGTGGTGGCACGAGTGTAGTTGCAGCTACTCAGGAAGCTGAGGTGGGAGGGTCACTTAAGCCTGGGAAATCAAGATAACGGTGAGCCGTGGTTGTAGCATGTACTCTGGCCCTGGCAACAGAGCAAGACCGTATATCAAAAATAAAAAAAAAAGCCCAGGCACGGTGGCTCACGCCTGTCATCCCAGCGCTTTGGGAGGCAAAGGCGGGCGGATCATGAGGTCAGGAGTTCAAGACCAGCCTGGCCAACATGGTGAAACCCCATCTCTATTAAAAATATAAAACATTAGCCAGGCGTGGTGGTGCATGCCTGTAGTCCCAGCTACTCAGGAGGTTGAGGCAAAAGAATTGCTTGAATCCGGGAGGCAGAGGTTGCAGTGAACTGAGATTGAGCCACTGCACTCCAACCTGGGTGACAGAGCTAGACTTCGTCTCAAATATAATAATAATAATAAAAAAAATTTTTTAAGTAAAATAAAAAATAAATAAAATTTTAAAAATACTTTTTAATTCTTTTTTTGGTTGCCTAGTGAGCTGCAACTGCCCCATCATTGAGTTTGTTCCAGCCTTCCAGTGCTAACCATTTACCTGTGTTATTTATTTTTTTTTTTTTTGAGACGGAGTCTCACGCTGTTGCCCAGGCTGGAGTGCAGTGGCGCGATCTCGGCTCACTGCAAGCTCCGCCTCCCGGGTTTCCGCCATTCTCCTGCCTTAGCCTCCTGAGTAGCTGGGACTACAGGCGCCCGCCACCGCGCCCGGCTAATTTTTTGTATTTTTAGTAGAGACGGGGTTTCACTGTGGTCTCGATCTCCTGACCTTGTGATCCGCCTGCCTCGGCCTCCCAAAGTGCTGGGATTACAGGCTTGAGCCACCGCGCCCGGCCACCTGTGTTATTTTGTATGTGCGCCTCTGTATCTGTAAGGTAAATTCCTAAAGCCACTACGAATGGGGAAAATGGCATTTGTAATGTTGGGTTTCCTTCTCGGGGGTTTGTACCTCTGTCTACACTCCCACCAGCAACACATGAGATGCCTCTTCCCGCAAGCTTTGCCAACATCGAGTCTCGTGAAATTGTGGGTCTTAACCAGGATAATAGGTGGGGAATGGTGTGTCTGTGTAGCTCTCCTGCAATGCATTGATGCATGTCTTCACATGTTTGAACCGCCTGCCTTATCTGTGAACTCGCTGCTCAGATCCCTTGTTCATTCTTCTATTGGGAAATATAAGTCCTTAAATATAAGAGAGTGATTTGCCTTTTGTGATATAAGTTACAACTAGCATTTGTTTGTCTCTTGGTGACCCTGGGGACTGAGCCTCCCCAGGTGTGAGAGAACATCAGCCCTTGCCAGGTGATTGCTTTGTTTTCTGGCCCCTTCTGTGTTGGAGAATGGGACCTTTGTGGTCATGTAGTCTGACCGTGTCTTTTATTCATTGTTATCACATTAATGTTTTCTCTGTGTTGAGAGAATTACTACCCTCTGGTCTTGAATTGCCTGGTCTCCAATCTCTTTCTTGGAAATTGTTCCCTTATTCTGAGTGTATGCCTCAACTAGGATTAGATTACAAGCAAAAATCAGGCTAACTTGGAATTAAAATAAAAACCAAGCTGGTGTGGTGGTGTGTTCCTGTAGTCCCATCTTACAGTCGAGGCCATCACTTGAGCTGAGGAGTTCGAGCTTGTAGTGCTCTATGCTGGTGTCTGAATGAATAGCCACTGTACTCCAGCCCCAGCAACATGGTGAGACCCTGTCTCTTAAAAATGTGTATAAATAAAGGCCAAACCATTGACTATATTTCTTTTTTTTTTTTGAGATGGAATATCCCTCTGTCGCCCAGGCTGGAGTGCATTCTTCTGCCTCAGCTTCCCGAGTAGCTGGGACTACAGGTGCACACCACCACGCCCGGCTAATTTTTATATTTTTAGTAGACACGGGGTTTCACCATATTGGCCAGGCTGGTCTCAAACTCCTGACCTTGTAGATCTGCCTGCCTCGGCCTCCCAAAGTGTTGGGATTACAGGTGTGAGCCACTGTGCCCAGCCCATTGACTGTATTTCTAAAGGAGGAATGGACTATGATTTCTTAGGTTTGAATTGTGCTGGAAAGTTGAAAGGAGACAAAACCTTGGACTGCCTGTTGTGTGATCTGTGGGCTGCAGAGTAGCTCAGAACTTGAGGCAACCCAGCGCCACCTAGTGGATATTAAAGGAGGACAGGAATCTGAGTTTTGGTGAAAAAGGCTCCTAAGCTGTTGTTCATCCCAGGGATGCTGGGAGCTATGTTTCTCTGGCAGGGGTCCAGGCAGTAGTATTCTCCCTGTACCCCATCCTTGTCTGGCACTGGCATGGCTCTGCAGCCATCCAGGAGCCCCTCTGGGCTGTGGCCTCTTCTCTGTCCTCATCCCATCAGGTCTATGGTTGGCCTTGAGGGTCTGGTCTGCTGCTGCTCACTCTTCTGCACTAAGAAGAGGAAATTGAGTTTCCATTACTGATCAGGTAACATAGGACACAGAGCCCCCTTTCTTCTGATGGTGACTTACTGCCAGATCTGGGAAAATTTCAGAACAGAACTGAAAGACCAGAAGCTGTGAGACTTAATGAGGTTGGAGATTGGGGTGGGATTTTTCAAAGAAATTGTTCCTGGTTCCTTCTTTTTTTCTTTTTATTTAAGACAGGGTCTCACTCTGTTGCCAGCAGGTTGGAACGCAATCTTGGCTCACTGCAACATCTGCCTCCCAGGCTCAGGTGATCCTCCCATCTCAGCCTCCCAAGTAGCTGGGACTATAGGCACGTACCACCACTCTTGATTAGTTTTTGTATTTTTTTGTGGAAATGGGATTTTGCCATGTTGCCCTGGCTGATCTTGAATTCCAGGACTCAAGCAATCTACCCGCCTTAGCCTCCCAAAGTGCTGAGTTTATAGGCATGAGCCACCATGCCTGGCCCCCAGTTGCTATATTTATTTATTTATTTGAGACGGAATGTTGCTTTGTCACCCAGGCTGGAGTGCAATGGCATGATCTTGGTTCACTGCAGCCTCTGTCTCCCAGGCTCAAGCGATTCTCCAGCCTCAGCCTCCTGAGCAGCTGGGATTACAGGCGCCTGCCACTATGCCCGGCTAATTTTTGTATTTTTAGTAGAGATGGGGTTTCTGCATGTTGGCCAGCCTGGTCTTGAACTCCTGACCTTGTGATCCGCCAACCTCAGCCTCCCAAAGTGCTAGGACTATAGGCGTGAGCCACCGTGCGCAGTCCCCAGTTGCTATTTTAATTAAAGCTTGGGTTATGGTGTGGCTGAATAGCCTGTTGGCCCTGTCCTGCGGGACCTAACATCTGTGAATATAGTCTGGGAATGTGACTCTCTCAGGAGGCTACCCCAACACTTGTGCCAGACCTAGCACTTGTGTCTCCCTGTGGAGCCCAGTGGCCTCGGTGACAGCGTGTCACTCATTCATATGACCATTGAATTGTGTCTCCCAGGAGGGCAGGGATGTCTCCTCAGTTTCTGCAGCACAGCCCCTACACTCAGCCTGTGGAGGAGCACAGCTCATCCACTAGGGGTCGACGGCATATGTGGGTGGGAATAACAGCAGTGTAGGTTTATGGAGTGTGAAGAGTGATTTGCTGAATGGTTCTCCCAGTTAACAGGACCTGTGGCGGGGAGCGCTGTCCAGGGTCTGGCTGGGTAGGTGGTATTTGGTGCGGAGCCTTGCATTGTGAAGTGTTGAGAGCAGGGTTGGTCCCATGGACCCTCTGTGAATATCCTGAGAGTTTTCCATAAAAATGAACCTGTATATAAACTTTTGTTTGAAATTTCAACGTAAGCTGTTTGGAACCCACATAGATCTTTTGGGTTATGCAGCATCCCACTACTTAGAGTAGGAAGCCGGGCCCATCCTTGGGACCAGAGGATGCAGA